GCTAGTGGTGACCAGGCCAGAGGCAGCAGCGGCCGGCCACGCGCGGCAGCGCGCACACGCATGAGCGACCAACGCGGCGACGGCGCGCGCCCGAGTGTGGTGACCGCGTCCACCCGGCCAACCCAAGAACGTGTTGTGCACGTATTTTAAAGCATCTATAACAACTAAACGGTTGCTTTTAGACCTAAATCATCTTCACCATGCTCAAGATGACATACGAAGCTACCAAACCAAGCTAAAACATAACGCCTATTCTTAACCCGATTTCACAAAATAAATTACCAAATATGACATTGTCTAGCTGTCTATATACTTAAAAATCTTCTAAGTCTATGAGCTGAATTTGATTCCAAGTTGCATTTCTAGGATATTAGAAATGTTGGCTAGCAATGTTATTTTTCTACAGCAAGTATTTCATTGTCATCTACAAAGTTCATATTCCAAACTTTATTTAAGCGCCACATATATGTTCTATAGTATTTTTGTTCAATAAAAATTAGTTTTAAACCCTACTTGATAAATATGAGTTATGGAATAGCTTATCATTTAACATTTTTATAGATCATTTGAAGTTACAAAAATGTTATCTACACCTTCCATCACATGAGTTATCACATAAACATGATGCTCATGACATGGTTTGATAATTTGTTTAGGGCGTAACACCGATGGTGTTATAGCTACCCCCCCCCACCCCACCCCCAACCCCCCAACGCTAAACTCCTCAAATCCTTGGAGTCCGCTTGAGCCCACTGATCTGCCTCTGCCTTGATGATAAGCAGTAGCTCCGGCACCGTGGTCGTGGCCTCCTGGAAACACCGTGCGTTCCTCTCTTTCCATATATGCTAGGAGGTTAGCGCGAATAGCGAATCCATGCCCTTCCACTGATTTCCCTCCCCCCCCCCCTAAAGCGTTTCTACCAGTCGAGGACCGACTGAGCCATGGGTGGGAGTGGGCGGCATAGGGCTTGGCATATGTGGAACCATACCTCTTTTGCATATGGGCAGAAACAAAGGATGTGATCAATCGCTCCGGTGCCTGATCGCAGAGGTAGCATTCTTACCTGGCTTCGAGGCCATGCCTTGCTTGCCGGTCATTCGTCCAGTGTCGCTTTCGGCAACAAGAGCTAGAGGAAGATCTTAGATCGATCTTCACCTTCAGCGGCGCCCAAGTCTTCTAGATCAGCGAGTGACCACGGAAAGGGATAGAACCTGTGTGGAGCATTTTGTAGGCGGATTTGGTGATATACTTCTCGTCAGGCGTCCATCGCCAAACTGTCATGTCCTGTTGCTCACGTAGGTTCACATCGGTCGTGGCTTCCCAAAGGTCCAAGAACTCCGTGATCACAGTCGTGGTCATGCTGCCCGTGATGGCTCGTGTCCATTGCCTGTTGGTAAGCCCTTGGCGAACCGTTAGGCTTGATCTGATCCTCCTGGACACCAGCTGCACAAGGTTGGGAGCAATGTCTGACGGCGCTGCTTGATGAAGCCAACTATCGTCCCAAAACAGCACGGTGGAGCCATCCCTGAGCTCAGTGTACGTGGACGTGCGGAAGAACGCTCGGACCTGCGTGTCAGCGTTGATTGGCAGTTCACTCTAGGCGCGCGAGCTGTCAGCCTTTTGAAGCCAAAGCCACTGCGTTTGGAGCGCGTACCCCGCGAGCTTGAGATCTGTGATCCCAAGCCCTCCCAACCCAGTCGGCCTGCAGGCTGTCTTCCATGCCACCATACACTTGCCGTGGACCAACGCGTCATTGCCGACCCACAGAAACTTTCTGCATATCTCGTCGATCTCTTTTGTCGCCCATGGCGGTAGGCTGTCCGCCATCATCGAGTAGATGCCCGGAGCACCGATTTGATCCACACTAGCCTTCCGCTCCTTGCCATCAGGGAGCCATGGCAAGGCGGCAGCTTATGCGTGACGGCCTCCACGACAGAGTGCACATGAGCTCTGGCCACTTTCTTGGTGCTCAATGGAAGGCCTAGATATCGGATTGGGAACTCTTGGATTTGGCAACCCAGGATGGTGACAATGTCCTCTAGTGCCTCCTCCCCGTCGAAGATAGGAGTGATGGAACACTTGGACAGGTTTGTCTTCAAGCCTGGTGCCTCCCTGAACACTCGGAGAATCTCCTTGACCGCCCTCGCCTCCTACATGGACGGTCGGATCGGATGAACAAGATGATGTCGTCTGCGTACAGACTGCACTGGAATTTGATCTCTTGTAGCGGAATTGGACGCAAGACGCCATCCCTGCTGGCCTTGGTGAACTTCTGGTGTAGCACGTCCATCGCAATGATGAACAGCATCGGTGATAAGGAGTCTCCCTGGCGCACCCCTCTGAAGTGTTTGATTGATGGTCCTTGATGGCCATTAAGGATGATCCTCGATGACGCCGTTGAGATCAGTGCAGAGATCCATCAGCACCAAGCTTGACTGAACCCCCTCGCTTGCAGTAACTCCAGCGGGAAGGGCCAAGAGAGGGTGTCGAAAGCTTTGGAGTAAAGATTTACAAACATGCCGGCACGGCACTACACGGCCCTAGCCCGCCTGGGCACGGCCTGCCTGGGCACGGCACGGCAGGCACGGTTAATGAGGCGTGCCGTGCCGTGCCGTGCCACCGTGCCAGAGTTCAGGCCCAGGCACGGCACTAAACTTGCTGGACCGTGCCTGGCGTGCCGTGCCGGCACGGCAGCCCAGCGTGTCCCGTGCTGGCCCTGGCACTGAAATTACAAAAACATTCATTCAAATCATAAGTTCACAGAGATAACTTCTAACTCATCAAAAACATCAGACAATGCCAGCAAAAAACAGCAAAGAGCAAAGAACAGCAAAGAAAACAGGCAAGTTTTGAAACTAAAACTAATTAAAGTAGGAGCTGTGCAATGGCTGTCTCATTAAAAACCTGTTTAGGTAAAACTCACCCTTGTGAGAAACCCTAAACAGGAAAAGAGTACAGCCAGCTCCTAAGATTGTTCATAAGTTTATTACATCTAGCCTCCAGCATGTCCAAGTCTTAATAGCTATTACAGAACCATTACATAAATGGGAAACTTAATCAACATCAAGATAAAGTGCTTCAAAGGTCTCTTCCAGCTCCTTATCCTCCACCATGTGCTGCAGTCTTGATTCAGCATTCTCCCAGTCCTTGATGCAGGTTAGTGCCTCCACAGTCTCAGGGTTCAGCCTCCGGCGACGCTCCTCGATGGTCCTGCCAGTAGTGCTAAAGGTAGATTCTGAAGAAATGGTTGACACAGGCACAGTAAAAATATCTTTTGCAAGAATAGAAAGCACAGGATAAGTAAGCTTGTGCTCATGCCACCATTGCATGAGGTCAAAATCATCATCTAACTGGCTGACTGTGCCAGAGTCTAGGTAGGATGCAAGCTCACTAGAGTTAGAAGCAGAAGCTGCCTGTAGCAAAGAAGTGACAGAAACACCCCTGGACTGATCAAGATTAGGAGGGAGGGAAGAACAGCCAGCTCCAATGTCAAGTTCATCATCATCATAAATGTCAGCCCAAGCTGTTCTTTTTTTACTAGAAAGGGATGCAGGAACAGCCCTTTTGAGGCTAACAGAGCCATACATTGCATCATACCTGTTGTACATTCTAAAAAGAAGAGCTCTGGTGTCCAGCAACTTGTTAGTGTAATCAACATTAAAAAGAGAATTCAACTTTCTAAGCACTTTGGTAAAGCCCTTAATCTTAGCTCTTGGATCCAGTATGAATGCAATGGAATGAAGATCAGGTATGTTCTTCCAGTACTTATTATATTTGTCAATCATAGACTGCACAACATATCTCAGATGTTCATCATGTTGATATTTATGCAGGTGAACAGTAATCTTAACAATATGATGAATCATAAGTGGAGAAGTAGGATAGTACACACCAGATAAAGCAACGGTAGAGTCATAAAACAGTTCAAGAAATTGCAACATCTTAGTTGCCATATCCCAGTGATCATCAGTCCACTGGAAAGGACTACCTGCAGGTCTAGGGTAATTAGCCTCAATGAAAGTACTGAAAGTACTCCTATGAGGTAACAATGTTTTCAGCATTAGGTAGGTGGAGTTTCACCTAACATCCATGTCCAGTGAGAACTTCCTAGGTCTAACACTGCTAGCAATGCAATAACTCTTGTATGCAGCAATTCTTTGATTAGAGGAGTTCAAAAAAGAGATTGCAGTTCTAAAGTTGTCAATGAGAAGATTAACAGCAGCCAATGCTTCCTTAACAATCAGGTTAATAATATGACAAGCACATCGTTGATGCAAAAACAGATCAGCACCTACATACTCTTTAAGTATAGGTTTCAGTTTATCCATTTCATTTTTATTGGCAGATGCATTATCCAAAGTCACAGAAAAAACCTTGTTAAGTATACCATACTCAGCAAGGACAGTTTTAACATGCTCAGCAATGTTTTCAGCATTATGGGAGACATCAATCAACCTTAAACCAAGCACCTTTTCTCTAATTGCCAATCAACATTAATGAAATGAGCCACAACAGACAGATAATCTTTTTGGCCTTTCTAGACCAAATATCAGAGGTAATAGCAACAGATGAAACAACATTGTCTTGCAAACAAGTCATTAATTTTTCATGTTTACCATTGAAGTGCTTAAACAGATCTCTAGCAGTAGTTTGCTTAGAGACAGGTGCAAAGGCAGGGTTATGAGCAGTTTTAATGTAATCTTTAAAGGCATCAGTTTCACCAATCAGTAAAGGTAAATCTAGCCTAGCAAGCATACGAACAAGCTCAACACGAGCTACATCAGCATTGTACTCCCAGCGACGAACAGAACCATCAGGATTAAAACCAATTTGAGTTTGAGACATGCAACATTTCTCACGACGCTTAACACAAACCTTAAGATGTCGAGTAAGATGTCTAGTGCCATTAGTAGAATAAGCAGAGTATTGTTTCTTGCAATGTTTGCAAGTGGCAGCATACCTGATGGGTCTCGCCTTACCTGGCACCTTCTTGAAGTGCTTCAGAAATTATCCCAGACAGCAGAGGTAGAAGGCCGATTGGAGCCTGCCACCTCACTGTCGCCACCGTTGGCATCGGGATCGGCCCCTTCCCCGTGGACCGGGACCGCATCTTGGTCACAGGGAAGGGGATCAGCAGCAGACCGCCCAAATATCTCGGCGCAGTCCTCGCGGACATCGTCCTCCTCATCATCCCCGGCTAACCCGCACATCCGCAGCTCGTCGTTCTGGGAGTGATCAAACTCCCCTTCATCGGCGTCGCCTACGCCTCGGGCCATCTTTGTCGTCTTCGGTTCCTCGACGACTACATCAATCAACAACAGAAAAAGACGGTTAGGGTAGGGGATTAGGGTTAGGGTAGGGGGTTAGGGTAGGGGATTAGGGTTAGGGTAGGGGGGCTTAACTCTTGAGCCGGAGCGCCGGAAACGACGATGAGATGGACCGGATGCACACCCCCGGTACCTCAACGGAGATCGGAGCCCCAGAGGTGGAGGCGATCGGCGATGAGAACGATGGACAGAAGATGGAGATGCGTCGAGGATGCTAAGAACGAGTCCCAATCGACTTTTAGGGATGAAGAACAAGGGAACAGATGGAGATTGAAGGCGGGAACCACCAGATCTGAGAGAGAAGAGGGAGATTGAGGGCAGAGAGGGAAAGCAGGGAGATTGAGGACGGAACCCACTGGATCTGACCCCTTACCCACCGGAGAACGCCATGGACATGGCGGAGCAGGGGAACGAGGCGAGGATCAGGCGAACGGGCGAGAGCGAGGAGCGAGACGACAGCGGGCGAGAGCGACGAGCGAGACGAGAGCGGCGCGAGGGAGACGAGAGCAGGCGAAATGAGCTAGGGTTTGGATGGTGCGGGACTAGGGGGGCGGCCGCGGCGGAGATTGAGGACGGAACCCACCGGATCTGACCCCTTACCCACCGGAGAACGCCATGGACACGGCGGAGCAGGGGAACGAGGCGAGGATTAGGCGAACGGGCGAGAGCGAGGAGCGAGACGACAGCAGGCGAGAGCGACGAGCGAGACGAGAGCGGCGCGAGGGAGACGCGAGCAGGCGAAATGAGTTAGGGTTTGGATGGTGCGGGACTGGGGGGCAGCCGCGGCGGGTGGCTTATGTACCGCAGGCCCCCAGCCCCGCCGGCGCCCCTCCGTGCCTGAGCCGTGCCGCCCGTTGTAACGGGCCGTGCCCGGGCCGGCTCCTCGGCCCAGGCACGGTACCGGGCCGGGCCAGGCACGGGCACGGCTATGGCGGGCTAGGGCCGGGCTTTTTCGCACCGGGCTCGTGCCAGCCCGTTTCAACCGGCCCGTTTGGAAATCTTTACTTTGGAGATGTCGAGCTTCAGGAGCAGCATGGGCACCTTTTTCTTCCTAATGAGAATGGATGCTCGCTGTATGTATTTGAAGTTGTCCTGAATAGTTCTTTCACGAATGAAGGCGTTCTGGTTCTTGTCGATCAGCATGTCGAACTTGGGAGCTAGCCTCAGCGGATCTTGGAGATCAACTTTGCGAAGCTGTGAATCATCGTTATCGGCCGGAAGTCTGCAGGGCAAGTAGCTCCCACCTTCTTGGGCAATAGGACAATCAGTGCGTTGTATAGCTTCTCAAGCCCTCTGTAGTCCCCGCGCGCGAATGACTGGATCGCGGCCATGACCTCTTCCTAGATGATGTGCCATGACGATATGTAGAACGCCCCTGTGAAGTCGTCCGGGCCAGGCGCCCTGTCAGGCGGTAGTTCCTTGATAGCGTTTCATACCTCATCAGCTTGTATGTCCACGTCGAGCTCTGCGAGAGGCATTGGGTGAATGCCTAGTGCTTGGAAGTTGATCGTTGTGCGGCTGCTCATTGCCGTTCCAAACACCCCACAGAAGTGGTCGTAGAGCCCTTGCTCCATCCCTTCGTGATCAGCAGCGACATGGCCTGCGACTGTCAGGGAAGGTATGAAATTACGTCGCTTCCTGCGGTCCTGCCTCGTGCGATCAGGTGGAAATATGCCGTGTTTGCATCCCCCTCGGCCAAATGCCGTACAAGTGAACGTTGTTTGGCCATTGTTCTCTCCAGAGATGAAAGGCCAAGGCAGCGTAACTTCATCCGCTTCCTTAGCGAGGCTACCGCTTCAGAGAGAGGTCGCGCCTCTTGTGCCATGTCGAGGCGGTGGATGAGCTCACGGGCCATGAGGAGCTGGTCTTTGATCCCTCCAATCTTAGTCGCAGCCCATCTCTGCAGTTCTTTAACGAGCCCGCGTAGCAAGTCGTCCAGTCACGGAATTGGCCCACGAGAGGCGGGCTGGCAGCGCCAGGCGTCCTTGATGACCTGTTCATAGTCGGCGAACTTGGGCCAGAACACTTCGAAGTGGAACCTCGATTTAGACATGCTTCCCAGATTGGTGTGCAGGAGCAGAGGGCAATGATCCAAAGCGTCGGTGCCCAGGCATCTGAGGTAGGAATTGGGGAACATCTCGTCCCAGCCGAGGGAAACTAGCACTCGGTCCAGCCTGACCAAAGTCGGGTTCTCCCATTCGTTGCTCCAAGTGAAGCACCGGCCATGCAGGTGCAAATCCTGCAGCTCAAGGTCTTCCACCGTGCGCCTGAAGCGAGAGAGGTTAGCACGATTTATCCTGTTATTGTTCTTGTCCGTCTCAGACAGAATCAAGCTGAAGTCGCCACAAACGGCCCACGGTCCAGAGCAACTGTCCCGGGTGGCCTCGAGCTCCTCCAAGAAGAGGATCTTGTCGCTGTCGTCCTGAGGCCCGTAGACGGAGGAGAGCCACCAGGAGGATTCTTGGTCGCCCACCTGGGCCTGCGGCCGCACCCTGACAGTGAGCGAATAACAATCCACGAGGACGTCTGATAGGGAGACATCAGTTTGTCGCGCGGCCATGAGTATCCCCCCTAGTATTGGACGCAGGTAAGTATGCGAAGTCGGTGAAACTCATTCCGAGCATGGCGAACACCAGGTACTGGGAGATTACATCTAGTTTAGTTTCCTGCAAGCACACGATGTTGGGACGTATGTCGTCAACCAGCGTGCGGACGTTGTCCCGGCGGGCCCTTTCATTCAGCCCGCGCACATTCCACGACATGATCGTTGTATTATCCATCGGTGTGAACTCCGGAAGGGGGCAGCCGCGTTTATGCGACCACCAGCGCAGAGCGGCGAGGTGCTCTACCAGCTTTGCAGTTCGCTGCTGGTAACAGCTCATCGTGAAAGAATATGGGGTAACTATAGTTGCCTATCTTGGCTCACCATAGGGTCCATGTTTATATAGAAAACAATATTACAGATATAGGCGGTTTAAGCTAGGACTCCTGAATTAGAGATTACAAGATTCTATGTTTAACTAACCTAACTATAGGAGTCCCTGCCGCACCAACCAAAGGTTTATCTCGTGTACAAATATATCTCCAATTATATCTCCTAACACCCCCTCTCAATCGAAACTTTCAGCCACTTGTAAGATTGAGATTGTGTACAAAATCTCGTAGCTTTGCCGCAGGAAGCGCCTTAGTGAACCCATCTGCTAACTGATCTCTTGTAGATATAAGCTGAACCTGCAATTGTTTTCTCAAAACTCGTTCTCTGACAAAGTGAAAATCAATCTCTATATGTTTAGCTCTGGCATGAAAGACTGGATTAGCAGATAAATACGTTGCACCCAAGTTATCACACCATAAAATTGCAGGTTGGCATAGCTTAATACCAAGCTCAGTTAGCAACTGTTCAAGCCAAATAAACTCTGCTGTTGCATTTGCCATGGCTTTATACTCTGCTTCAGTACTAGACCGAGAAACTGTAGGTTGTTTCCTTGCACTCCATGAAATTAAATTGGGGCCAAAGAATATAGCAAATCCTCCTGTAGAGCGCCTATCATCCACATCACCTGCCCAGTCCGCATCTGAGAAAGCACTGAGAGAAGGAACTGCTGCCTTCTGGATGCGCAAACCCATTTTAATTGTATACCTTATATATCTTAGTATCCTTTTCACAGCAGTCCAATGTATAGTAGTTGGAGCATGTAGAAATTGACAAACCCGATTTACAGCATATGATAAATCAGGTCGAGTGATGGTTAGATATTGAGTGCACCCACAACACTTCTATAACGAGTACCATCTTCTGAACTTAGTGGTGTACCTTCATAGCTTGATAGCTTTTCCGAAGCCGAGAGGGGAGTAGTGCATGGCTTACAGTCGGCCATACCAACACGTTTCAATAAATCTTGTGCATATTTTCCTTGGGAGAGAGTAATACCCCCCTGCTCTTCTTTGACTTCAATGCCCAGAAAATAATGAAGCATCCCAAGATCTTTTAAGGCAAAATCTTCACGAAGGTCAGCAAGAAGAGCTGTTACAGCTTTAGAATCATTGCTTGTAACAATAATGTCATCAACATAAATGAGAATGTAGATCATTATACCACCTCTATTATAAATAAACAAAGATGTATCTGATTTAGAAGCCACAAAGCCAAGAGAAATTAATTTATTGCTTAACTGGAGTACCTGGCTCTAGGCGCTGTTTAAGCCCATAAATAGCTTTGTCTAGTTTGCACACATAATGAGGAGTCTCGTCACTTTCAAATCCAGGTGGTTGTTTCATATACACTTCCTCTTCGTAACGCCATGAAGAAACGCATTCGCACATCTAGTTGTTTTAGGCACCATCCCTTGAAACAAAGAATCGAAAGTACCGGCCCGTGCATAGATTGCAATCTTGACAACTGGATGAAGGTGTCTTCATAGTCAATGCCATATCTCTGCTTAAATCCTTTTGCTACCAAACGAGCTTTATATCATCAATACTTCCATCGACCTTTCGTTTAATTTTATACACCCACTTGCAATCAATTATATTCTCGTCTGATTTACTTGGCACTAGATGCCAAGTTTTATTTTCTTGAGTGCATCAAATTCTGCTTCCATTGCTTGTTTCCATTTAGAATTAGCTAAAGCATCTTGAACTGAATTGGGTTCTCGTCGCACTAAAGAAACTGTAGCGGATCATACCATCGTACATACGTTTGGGCTTCACAATCCCACACTTTGCGTCGAGTGCGTCGTCGTTGGGGCTCAGTGCGGATGGCAGCGTCGAAGGAGCACCAGAGGGCTCGGTCTCATCTCAAACAGACGTTGAGTGTGGCGGATCGGATCCGGGAGACGAGAGGATCTGGGCTGATCTTACGGAACTGGAACAGCTGCGGATCCGGACTGATCTGCATGATCAGCTGTCGGCAAGATCATCGAAGGGAGTTTCCGTCCGGAACCACCGCC